CAAGCGCATCGGCTAAAGGAGTCTTTGAACGATCAAAATAAGCAGCTGGTCGAGCAACATCATCTGGTTCAGCAGCTGCTGCAACAGCAGTTTCAGCAGCCGCTGCAGCAGCAGCAGCTGGAGCAGGAACTACAGCGGCAAGGAATGTCAGCGAATTGTCACACAGCGCACGCACGCGGGGGCGGCTACGGCGTTGAGCCACAAGACAGCAAATCTTTTTCCAGTGTATATGCGCGGGAGCAGCACATGCACATTCCAGGACAGCAGCAGCAGATCCAGCTGCAGCAGCCCGTGTCTTCCCTGCAGCAGCAATATGTACTGCAACAACGCGGGGTTCCATTGCGGCAGAGGCAGCTGCACACGCAGCAGACTATGCAGCAGCCCGAGGTGCGTCCACACCGGCGAGATAAAGAGCAGTTTCCGCGGCAACAACACCAGGAGCTTCTGCAGCACCAGGATTTGGGACATGCGGGGCTAAACCAACGGGGCTGGGAGGTGCCGTCGCAGCAAACCCACGCAGCATCAGGCGAGGCGCTGCAGCAGCAGCTGCAACAGCAGCAACTGCAGCGGCAGCAGCAGCTGCAGCTGCAGCATCAAATGGAGCATCAACTTTTGCCTGGTTCACTTCGCGACGACGAGGCGCAGCGTTCATCCCAGGCCAGCCAGCAGCAGGAGCGCCGCGGGCTGCAAGAGACCCGGCAGCAGCGGCCGATGCTTGCCGCTGGTGACCCGCAACAGCAGAGACAGCTAAGGAAAGAGGTACCTGGTGCACACAGCGTTGCCCAGGCGAAGGAGCACCGGCGGCAGCAGCAGCAGCAACAACGGCAGATGCTGCCGCTAGGTAGCGAGCAACAGTGCCTGAAACAGTGGATGCATTCCACACAGTCCCTTCAGTTGCAGCAGCAGCAGCTACTGCTGCTGCAGCAGCAGCAGCTCCAGCAGCAGTTGCCGTTCCCGTCGGCAGCCGAGCAGCACGTGGAGCAGGAGGAGCATCAACGTCTTGTGCCGCCCACCATAAGCCAAACGGAGCCGTTATCTTTTGAACAGATGCTAGAGACGACAGCGGTACACCTGCACCAGCAAAATGATTTCCGTTGTCAGCAACCGGCATACCTGCAGCAGCTGCAGCAGTCCGTGCGAAGACAGGACGCTGAGGAGGCGCAGCTTCCGATCCGGCACCAGCAAGAGCTCTGTGGCAGCCTCCTGTTGAAAACTGAACCATCTGATGATCCAGAGAAAAGTTAGCAGAAATTATTGAAGTAGTGGCGAGAGCAATGGGAAACAAATTAAGAAACTGCATTTTTTTTTTAATTACTAAATTAGCAAAAAACTCTGATCGAAGATTCAGGAACCGTCTTGTAAAATATAATACAGAACCCGGATGAAA